CCCCAAAACCCCAAAACCCCAAAACCCCAAAACCCCTTAACCATTCCTATTAATTAAAATTAATATTAAAAATGCTGCCAAAAGAGCACGAAACAAGTAATGAAGACCAAACTCCAAAATCTCAAATTCAGGAACCTCAGTTCTCCAGCTCCCAGCTGGAGAACTGGAGGCAACACGTTGAGAAGGAAGCTGAGCAAGACCTATTATTACTTGTGAAGACTGACGGGACTACAGACCATAGCTTTGTTAATAAGCTAAGAGTTCTCTTAGAACACTTCCTTACAGATCAGAAATCTACCAACGAGGAGGACCAGCCAGGCTTAGGAGGAAATTTAGGTATGTCTCTTTATGAGAACCCGCAGCTAATTTTTAGACACCGGCAGAAGTACTTTTCAAGATAAATAAACTCAAAGGGGAGCTAGAAGAGCCGAATTTTAACCGTAATTTAGTGATAAAAATAGTTTTAGGGTTAACCATTCATAATAAATTAGCTAAAGCTAATAACGATGAGCTTCTCAATGGATACATCAGGTACAGTCTCTTGTTCTATTTTTATACTAAATTTTGCTTGAATACAGCATTGATCAGATTAAAAAGAGGATGTTATCCTGCTCTAAATCATCCAAAAACAGCACCTCTAAAGATCAGAAGGGGAGAAATATTGCAAAGTCTAAAATATTATACAAGACGCTTCTATCGTCTGCTTTCAGAAATACAGATTTAGTTAAAACCTCTGATTTTTGATCCCTTTTCGTTGAGAATATACTGGAAGTGAATCAGAGACTTATTAGTCACCAAATAAAATTTATTGATCTTCAGAAAGAAATAGAGGGAGTCGATGAGAAATATTTGTCAATGAAGTCCAATTTAATAGCACCAAATTCATGCATGAGCTCAGGAAATTTGCTTAAAAACTCAGGTGAGGGTTAATGAATTGCTATTTTCAACACCTTTGCATTAAAAATTCTCTCTGGTAATTTCTCTCGTTAAGGAGAGATGTATAGAAATCTTTCCTCTCATTAGAAAATTAAATGTCTGAAATTTTGTGCAAATTCCTTCACATCATTTTTGGTACTTGTGCTATCTAGATCCTCTTTTGAATAAGATGGAGGTATGCTTGGTTTATAATTATACAAGAACCCCTTAGGCAAATTAAGAGCTTCCTTATAGATATTGCTCCCAGAATCGTAGAAATTCATTTAAATCCTCCAAGGCTAACACTTGATCATTCAAAAATGCCTGGCTTGGTGGCAGATGAGGTAAATTAGCAGTTTCAAATTTTGTAGAATAATAAGTATCTGTTCTTTTTCTATGATGCTTGAGGAAGATATTTAGGTAAGCTTGAGCAAGGGGATTCCAACACAGAAAGCTGGTAAGATAGCACCTTTGAGTTAATAGAAGTCCTGGTTCAAGCAGCTTAACAATCGATGGTTGCAAGATAAATAATGATTTATCCCTTCTTCAGAACGTCAAAGTTCAGATTTATAATAGTAATGAGGACTTCTGCACTGAAACTCCAGGAGATCCCTCTGGCATCTTGAGTGATGATGTTGACTCTAATTCGAACAGTAGTGGGGCAGATTACAAGTTCAGGTTCAGGCAAACTCCTGATCTGAAATTAGGAGACTTCGGTGACATCAAGGAAGAAGAGGAAGATTATGAGAAGGAGTTTCTTCCTCATTTTGCCACTTCTAAAATCATTCTTCCTGAAGTAATCGAGCCTTGCCAAGAGACCATCTCAGTTACAGCTGAAGTTATTAAGGAAACTCAGTGAGAAGAGAATGAAGATAGTGATGATGACTCCTTTTTAGATGATGACGATGGAATCGGACTGGGCTCCACACGAAAAAGAACCAAACACATCAATATTGGAACGATGCACCTCTCCTTTGGTGTAAAATATGAGGATATCGAGCAAAGATTAGATTGCAACAAGAAAAATGAGACTGATAAATTGAATCTTGCTGTTGAAGCTTTAACAAAAGAGATAGACGATACGAGACTTTCTTTGAAATAACAGTATTTGTTGGGCAAATTCCATCGAATTTTCTCCCATACTAGGACTTTATGACAATAAGACAGATCCTTTACCCCAAACACCATGAGATGAGTTTCAAGATTTCTTTGAAGAGCCGCTTGTACGCTCATCTATTCTCTGTGGGTCTGGCCGGACTTCTGATGATTGCTGTATAATATTTTAATTTGAATGCAATCTCAACAATTGGCTTGACATTAGGGGTTTTGGGGTTTTGGGGTTTTGGGG